TAAAGACTCCAGCAAGAACAAAAAATCTACGCCCGATGTTGATTAGTAGCGAGAATGACAAGTAAATAAGGGCTAGCCGTCAACTTTTAATTATCTGGCACTGAATATTTAAAATCCAATCACTGAAGTAACTGGCGATCAAACTTAGCTTTGTACTCATAATGCTTACAACATTTTATCTCTTTAAGACTCCTTTAATCTAATACGTTTAGATGTTACTCTTTATCATTTGTTCACTGTTTATAAATTTTAATATGAAGAATATTTCTTATTTCAATAAAATTTACTGTTTTTAATGTTTTAATGTAAAAAATATAATACGAAAAATTTTAATATTTTAGTATAAATTATTATAATTTTAATGTTTTAGTATAAAAAAACATTTGACTATGTTTATTTAATGTGTTTTATAACAGAAAGTTTTATTGATTTAAGTTTTTAGCTTCTAATTTTTAACTGCAATCGCTTTTGTTTCATGCATTTATAATCCGCAGCATTTTTAATCTAAAGATGTTGTTAAAGTTGACAGACTTTGTGAATACAATGACTAATCATGTTTTTACTAATAAAATATTGTTACTTTGGTGTTAATACTAGATTTGTTTTGTTTATTTTTGGTTAATTATTACGATATGACTGTGCTGTGGGGGATTGGATCACCTAGTTAGCTGTCAGTAGAAGTGCCATTTCTCGCGCTGCTGTTACACGATGGCATGTTTCGAATAGTGATTGTCCAAAACTCAAAGATCATCATCAACAAAACCAACTACGTCTACAATAACCACAACATTATCTACAACTACTAACACAACAAAAATCACAACACCTACTACCACAACCCCAAAATCAACAACTACTATAAAATAGCTACAACTACCATAGTAGAGCGAGTTACAATAATCAATCCTAGATAAGACTAACAAAGTAACAAGAAGGGGAAGAGTAGGATCATCAAGAAAAGACAAAAGTTTTTTTATTCTACGTAGATGAAAGTAAGAGCTTCAAGCAACACTATTAATCTGAGAAGAGAGAGACATAGTAGAATCAAAGCTAAAACCTAGACTACGAAACTTATGAGAGACATCAAGAGTTTTAGAATCAGGTAAGATAATAGGAGGAATAGTAATAGAGTGTTTAAATTTATTAAAACAAATTAATTCAAACTTAGAAGGATTAAGTTTAAGACACATAGAGTCAGACCAAGCGATAATTGAAGAAAGACATAAAGATAAATTATGAAGAACACTATTGAGATTAGATGGAGGAAAAGAAGTATAAATGTAAGAATCATCAGCATATAGTTGACTAAAGAAAGAAAAGTTATTAATAATACGAGGTAGTTCAGAAGTATAGAGTATAAATAGAAGAGGGCCAAGGATAGAACCCTGAGGTACCCCGAAAGTAAGAGTAGAGGAGTTAGTAGAATTATTGAGAACAACAGAGAAAAACGATTACAGAAACAAGAAGAAAACCAAGATAGACAAGAATCAGTAATATTAAAAGAAAGATGCAGCAGTCTCAAGAGAATAGCATGGTCAACAGTATCAAAAGCTGAGGAAAAGTCAAGAGCAAGAAGAGTAAGATTACTATTGTCACTAGAGAGGATATCATTGTGTATTTTAAGTAAAGAAGTTTCAGTACTGTGAGCAGGTCTGAAACCAGATTGAGATACAGGTAGCAAGGAGTTAAAGTCTAAATAGGAACATTACTCAATCAAAAATTTCGCATTAATAATTAAAAATAGAGCTAATATAATAACTGGATAACATTTTTCATTAGGTTTTCGGAGTTCCATACGAGATCTCGTGAGCATTACATATTTATATGAATGTACATTATGACATACCATTGTCTTTTAATGTTTATGTGCGATGTGCCAGACCAGACATAAAAAATGAAAAAATTTAAAATCAATTTAAAAAATACGTCAGAAGTTTGTTCAAATACTTTTTTTAATTATCTTCAAATAATATAATTATATTGAAGTCTTATTGACCGACGATCAATGACAAAAAAAATAGACAAATTAGAGTTTGCGACCATGCAGCTGCTTAGCTTCTGGTCATTGAACCCATGATATTGACTTCAAAAAATATTTAGGTTTCTATGATTAAACAATTGTTAAAATTCTATGGATATTAACAAGACATGCACGTGACTGCTTGCTTTAATGTTCACAATCTTATATTTATTTATTTATTGATATTCAGTAAAAAGCAAAAGTCAAGCAACTAATATTAGTCTGTTGTAATTTTCATCTTCTTTTAACTTTTTTCTTTGCCTTCTTTGCCTTTGCCATAACAGTAATGGCTATCCCCACAGTTCTGTTTAATTTTCCTTTTATAATATCAATCCCTAAACCATGTAAAAAAAATCTGATTGATTAAAGTGGAAGGAAGAAATGTTTGAATATTTGTTTGAAACTTAATCTTTACGAGGTAATCCTCATCATACTCATCTAGCACACAAATCCGGATTTTTTAATGGATAGGCGTGAAATGATACATTGTTTTTCTAGTCATTTGCTGCATTTGATTTGTCATTTGTATCCACTTTTACATCCTTAAGCTGAGCAAATATTCACCATTTTATATATAATTACAAGCAAGTTATTGAATACAATGGAAAATTATTCAAAAAGAAAAAAAATTAACAAATAACGATACAAAATTTATAAATGAAAGGCGATTAAAACTCAACAGCATTATAAAACAACGAGCAACACTAATAAACAAAGATACGTTTAAGCAAAGGTCAGTCATTCAACAAAGCGATAGCTTAATGCCGAGCCTACTATGCTCAAGTTATGATGTGCGCGTGTTAAAACTTTCATATCTAGTGCGCCGAGACATCTATGGTTATTACGATCTTCAATTTGGTGCAATTTGACACTCATAAGTGTCATCTTAGTTGATAATTTTTCTATTTCTAAATATATTAGTGAGAAAAATTACAATTGCACATTGTTGAATACTTATCATCGGATGTCTTTGTTTTATGAGTATTGATTCGGCTAGCCGTAAATTGTGTGAAAAATGGAATATGGGTCCCAGGGGCTGCATTGCATTGGTCAGCTGTGCAGCTCTAAATTCTGGGAAATACCATACTGACACAGGCTCTGCTCTTAAAATCCAGCTGCTGGCGTCCTCGACGCTTTACAACTTAACTCTAATTTCAAAACTCGAAGAACTAAAAACAGAAGGGGCGAAAGCAAGTTTCCGGCTTTTAAACCAGATGACCCTAGTTGACAACACCCGTTATCAAACTGTTCAAGAAAAGGTTAACTAATTTCAAAACCCGAAGAAGGCACACTTCGATAACAAAACCCGGATAAACGGAGCTCGAAGCTAGGGATAGCCCATCGTCTAGGAGAAAAAACTCTGATCGCAACCCGCGTTGAAACCACGCCCCTTGCGGCACTCATCATGTAAAATTAACCGGCAGGCTTCTGCAGTAACAGTCTTCTATAGTCGTCTTGGAAACTATCCATGCTACTGGGTTCAGACGGCTGCAACAAAGTTTGTGGACCGAGAGTTTATCACAATTTCCTTTCACTTTAAAATTATCCGGCGTCTGTTTTGCGCGCTAATACCTGTGACAGGAGATCTTTAAAAAACCTGCGGCGATAGCTACACATGTGACGGAGGTAGATTCAAGATGAAATTGGAAGCCTCTGGTCTGTGTGTTGCACACAGGCGGTTCTGCACTGATGGTCGCTGAGACTTGGGAAAGGGGATGCAAAGTTTCAGCAAGACAAAATTATTGGGTAGGGAGGAAGAGATTATTTGCTGAATATAAAGTGATTTTTAATTAATTTCTTATGTTAAATAGTGAAAATGTAGAAGTAGGTTGACTAGTGTTATTTTTATATCTCGTTTAATTATTTAAATTAATAGAATAATTTTTTTATCATTAGTATTAATTACATAAGAATAGGATTTATTAAATTTATTATGCTTGCCTATTATTACTGTTACTTTAACCAATTAAATATTACAATTAAATATCAATAGTAAGTACTCGACCGGCAAAAAGGTATAAAATTGATATTTCATGGGTTCCTTTACTGGCATATAACTCGGATGAATTAAAAATCTAAGCCAGTGTAAGCGAGGCCGGGTTTACAGAAGTGGATCCACCGGAACAACGAAAAATTGGAGGCCCCTAACTATTTTAGTAATTATTATTATTATTATTATTATTATTATTAGTAGTAGTAAGTAAATCTGTAATTATTATTAGTGGAGACTTCTGTTGAAACTTGTGGGCACCCCAAAGTATTTAGTGGAAAACATGGATATATATATCCGTGGTATGGATATATATATGGATATATGTATCCATGATAGAAACCCATAGTTTCAGTTTGTTCCATTTGAATTGTCAACAGTGCCGAAATGCCATTAACTTGTCTTTGGAAAAAGTTTAATTAGTTTTTGGGTTTTTTCAAATTGAAAACCGTTATTATTCTTACTGTAGCTGACGATGTTGCTGTTACTGCTGCTCGTACTGTCATTGCTAATCAGATTCTGGATTTGGCAGTTCTTGCTAGTGATAATTTTTCTGATTATTATTCTTTAAAAATTTATTATTACTCTTTAAAAATTTATTATTACTCTTTAAAAAAGCTCCGATGGATGAAGGACCACATCAAATTTATCGAAATCTTGCGTCGTGCTGGTTTAGATGATATAAAGGACGAATGCCGGCAACACCGTCTGAGATGGTTTGGTCATGTCAAACGAAGTGGAAACAGTGCCATAACTTCTCTTGCAGATGTTGAAGTACCTGGCACACGTCCCAAAGGCCGTCCAAAGAAGTCCTGATCGCAAACAATTGAGCAAGACATGAAGGCTTTAAATTTAAATGAAATGGATACAACTAATCGCCTAATTTGGCGCAAAAAATTGATGGCAAAGAAAACAACGTCCTACCTCGGGAGAACTTGGTCTTTGGACGGGTCGCTAAACGATGATTGATTGATTTAAAAATCAGGATCTGACAGACGCAGAAACTGTTACAGCATGCAAGTTAACAAATTTTAGTTTACTCATTTTTTTATTCCTTCCTCCATTTAATCAAGCGTTCAGCCAATCATTCATTCTTTCATTCGCTCAAAAACTTGAAATAACTGTTGTCGTTTTAATACAATTTACAAAGAAATTAAAACAAAAGCATAATTTTGTTAATCTTATGTGTTCATTAAAACATTGATATCAGTCATTATACATGTATAAATATATATACTTTTATTTATTTGTATATATTTATACTTATATATCTGGGAGTAAACATATATGGAATTAATATCACCTAACACAAACAATATGTATATAAACTCAAAAACAGCGTCCAACTTTTCAACCCATAAACCATGAATATAACAGATAGGAATTGCATGCACACATCCACACGTTGATTTATTTATTTACTTATATATATTATGTTATTATTGTATTAATGTTATTATTTAATCAAAGCCAAATTATTGAACAATTTCAAGAGAAAAACTGTTAATATTTTAAAAATAAAAACCACACACACACACAACACAACACACACACAAAGACATCCATCACACACGCACAAATTCCTAAAAAAAACTTTATGACCACCTCAAAGATATTCAAAAATAATATTTATTCTAAAATAATTTAAACATTTATAATATTTAACTAACATTATCAGACAAATCATGTGAGTTTATATCCTATAATTTATTATTTTATGCTCTTCCCTTTTCTCCCTATCTCCTAAAAATCGAGCAAGAAAACATATTTAACCAAAATTAACACAAACACACACACACACACATACATACACACACACGAATATATATAAAATTTATAATTTATACACACACAAACATACACACACACGCATTTATACTACATATATATAATTTATACACACACACACACATATATATATATAGCATATATATATATATATATATATATATATATATATATATATATATATATATATATATATAGCACTTCAATTAATGAGTAAGGTGTCTGAAATTATTGTAATCATTTCTTGTTTTTATTATTTAAATGCATTGAGAAGATTCCGACAATAATAATAATAACAGAAATAACGATAATAATAATAACAAAAAAAAACAAAAGAGTAATATTAGTTTAAAAACTGTAATAACATATCCGTGATGATAATAATAATAATAATAATGAAGATGACCTGATCTTACACATTACAAAATGATAATAATAACAACAATAATAATAATAATAAAATATAACACAAATAATAATACATATCATATTGGCAATATTGTTGTAGTGAAACAAACATTTGTGACTAATATAAATTAATGTAATAAATACAACTAGCGGTAATAATAATTAAAACATTCCAATATCACCACTCATTCAATCAACCAACAAACCAACCAACCAATTGGTCAACCAGCCAGACCACCAATTTATTAATCAACCTGTCACCCAACCAGTCAATCCTCTTCAATCCCATATGGAATCATTGAAGCCAATGAAATGACTCGCAACTTTACTACAGATCCCAACAAACCATCCATTTCCATTGGCAATTCCACCGATGAATTCATAACCACACTACTACTACTACAATAACCACTATTATCGCTACTGCGTCCGGCACTACCACTACTAGCAATTGTTGCCATTACTACTAACGCCAATAATACTACTGCCACTACAACCTTCTCTAGAAACGATACAATGCAACAACTACCAACACTAGCCAGCAATGCTAATAATAATACACAACTACAATGATTCTCAACACGACAAATACTACTGCTACTGCTGCTACTACCGCTACTTCTACTACTACTAAAATTGACCCTGCTAATACTAATAGGATTACTACTATTGCTGCTATTGATGACAGTACAATTACTCGTTACTAATTACATTAATAGCAAAGGCTAGTTAATTATGCAGTTATATTATATAATATACATATATTATATATGTTGGTATAAATTCACCGAATTGTTGGCATTAACCATTTTGAAGTTTATCTTTTCAATTTTCCATACAAGAATTTTCTGGAAATTGTTCAATTTTTTGAAAATAGAATTATCAAGTTTTGCAAATTAAAAAAAATCGAATAAGGCCTATCTGCATGATGGATTTGGATGACAACAGTTTGATTAAATTAAATTTTCATGATGAACTTGGATTCTATTTTTAATAAATTGAATAATTTCCAGAAAATTCTAGTAAGGAAAATTAATAAGACAAACTTTGAATTGATTAATGCCAAAAATTCGGTAGAATTTATACAATGTTGTATATATTCACACATATATATATATATATATATATATATATATATATATATATACATATATATATTATTGATGAAAGTTACAGTATATCGGCGTTAGTTAACATCCAATTTAAATTTTCGATTTTTCTAACGGTTGACCGTAAATCATTTTCAAGTTTCTTTAGTTCATAACCAAAATTTTTGTTTGTTTTATACATGATAGAACAGAAAAGCTTTTTTCGGTATTCCTATACCATCTTCAGTGTTCAAATTGACATGTTGTGGTTGTGCCCAGATGATCAAATATTTTTATACTGTGCTTGTTTATTGGTTCCTTGTTTATTCAAGTTGAATATTTAGTTTTACAATCTTTCGACATCGTAAAATATAACACTGTTACGTGTTTTCATTATCGATAAAAGTGTTATATTTATCGAAATCAAAAAAGTTAAATTGGAAGTCAACTAACGCCGAACATGCTGTGATGATCATCATCAATAATTGCATTTCTGACAATCTTAATCCTATATATATATATATATATATATATATATATATATATATATATATACATATATAGTATGTATATATATTACTTAACAATTGCAGAAATAATAAGTGTTAAAATAATAATTAAAAATAATATAATAATTATTAAATTGTTTTAACGTCTTTGTTACAAACTAAAAATATATAAAAATTTAATCTGTTTAAATTTCTTTGACAGGTTATTTAGTAACAATAATAACGATAATAGCGGTGATAACAATCTAGAAAATCGTATTTATAAATTAAAGCTAATTATAAGGTGTAGTTGGGTGGGGTTAAAACGAGTATGAAAATTAAATAAAAATATATATACATGAAAAAAACAGCATGCAAATAGTAACCTATGTATGTAATAGTGTGTATGTATGTGTCTTCATGTACGTATGTATGTATGAATGTATGTATTATGTATGTATGTCCATATGTATGTATGTACATGTGCGTATGCACGCACGTACATATGTATGCACGCATTCATGTGTGCATACATACATGCATGTACACATATACATATTTGCTTAACACATTCGTTCAACACCTGACTACAAACACCACAATGCCAACATTTTGCATCTCACTTTGAAATGTTTGTTCATTCTTATCACATTTATGTACGCATGTATGTACATGTATGCAAATCAGTATATAATAAACATATTATTTATTTAATTTATACGTATTCATAGTTTATAGATGAGTTTTTAAAGAATAAACAACATAAAATATTGTTAATATATAACATGTATAACGGTGTATGAATGTATGTATGTATGTATGTATGATGTATGTATGTGTGTGTGTGTGTATGTATGTGTGTATGTACATTATTTCGTTATAATTACAATAATATGCATGCAAACAAACGAAAAATAAACAAACGAATGAATGAATAAACAAATGACTGACGTTAATAGCATGTGTAAATGTAGTTGTTAAATAAACGCTCTTCGTAAATACGCATATTATATATAAATAAACACACACAAACACACACACACAAACCAGTTTATATATCTGTGTGTATATACTTTTACATATATACATACACATTATATATATATATATAGATACACATTATATAGATAGATAGATATATATATATATAGATACACATTATATAGATATATATATATATTATATATATATATATATATATATATTATATATATATATATAACTGTATTTGTTTAAGTTTTTTGTTGAAAATAATATAGAAAAATATTGAATATTAATGAAGTATACATAAAAACCGTTCAAAAATTAGTATACAATCAATGGAAACCCAACAGACACGCTTTAAAATAGTCCCTTTGGAAGCGACATTCGCAATTAAATGGCAGTGCCTCTCTCAAGGTTTTGTTTGATCTCTGCAGTTGGAACGCTCCATAGAAGCGTTCCAACTTTTTGTAGAACTTCATGTTACGTTATGTCCTCATCGTGTACGCGTCGGCTGCTGTATTTGGCGCGCTTTGCAATCTGTTTGTCAAGATCCTCAACCATCCGACTTATGGCTTCGGGAGTGTCCTTGTGATCCGTTGTCCCCAAGGTGTTCGTGCCTGCGTAAAAGACCTCCTCGCCAAGTTTTTCTTTCTCCCCAGTATATTCTTTCAAATTAGGCTTCATCTGCTTCGTCAACCTTTGATACTGTCGATACGAAGCTTGCTCAAAATCAGCAAATCCTGTATCAGGATTTTTCTTCTTCTTCCTCTCCCAGTGTTCAACCTCTTCAGCCGTCCAATTCCTCATCTTCACAATGTTGTAATCCTCACCACGATGCCTCCAGTTCCTTCTTGAGTTTCTCCTGCTCTTCTTTGTATTCGACCCTTGATTGTTTGGCCTCCCAGTTTGCAGGCAGTAGTTTCGACTTGCGATCCTCTCTTGGTTATTCAGCTTTCTGGCTCCATTCATTTTTAGATGTAGATTTCGTAATCTAAAAAGTCTATCGGCCTTAATATCATTCGCTTTTTCAATGTCGGACATTTTGTTCGAAGATTAAGAACAAAATAAGACAAAACAAAATTGGATATATATATATATATATAACTATATATATAACTATATATATATATATATAACTGCTCAATCAGTCAATCAATCAATCAATCAATCAATCAATCATGATGTTATTATATCAAGATAGAAAACAATATCGCTGTGCACAGGTATGTATGTATGTACATTCTGAATATTCCCTCAGGCATAATGATTTCAAATTATAAATCGATTGTAGAGTTAATCAATTGACTGTCAAACAAAAAATGTCCTAATCGATCAATCAATCAATCACTCAACCAACCAATCGATCCATCAACTAATCAATCGATCAATCAATCAATCTATCAATCAACCAATTAAACTAAGCAATGTAACAAACATTCAATCATTCCAAAATGTCCTAGTCACTCAATCAATCAATCAATCCAACAATCCACAAGCAGTTAAACGACTATACAACCAGCTAACAAATTACAATTAAATCAATCGATAATTCAATGTGACACACAATCCATCAGCCAATCAATCATTCAATAAGACACACAATCCATCAACCAATCAATCATTCAATGAGACACCCAATCCAACAACCAATCATAGCGGTCCAATCGAGCGACCAATCAGAAATGGTAATCCGCCTCTGCCATGTCGATGGCCCAGGCGAACTTTTCCCTCTGAGTTTTGTTGTAGATCTTCTCGATCGGCACTCCCCACTTCTTACACCTTGTTTGTGGTGGTTGATGATGGTGACGGTTGAGATGGTGATGATGATGGTGGTTGATGATGATGATGGTTGAGATGATGATGGTTGAGATGATGATGGTAGAGATGATGATGGATGTTGATATTGATGACGATGTTGATGATGATGGTGATGTTGTTGATGATGATATGTTGATGACGACGACGAATTAGTGGATGAGTGAAGAAATAGAGGAAACAATCTACCTTCACAACAGGCGAAGGTGAACGAACGAACCAATGGATAGACGAACGAATGAATGAATGAATTGATAGATTGATTGATACATGAATAAATTGATTGATTGATTGATACGTGAATGAACGAGAGAAAGAATGGATAGATGAATGAATTAAATTATTGATGAACTAATAAACTGACTGATTTCCAACACAGTTGTTGCAATGATGAGTGAATGAATGAATGAAGAGTGGAATGAACGAATGAGAAGATAATGGAATCGGAAATAACTATCAACTATCCAACATTGCACACAAAACAAATGAATGGTTGAAGAGATGAAAGAACGAACGAATGAATGAATAAAGTGAAGAATGAATGAAATGAAAAATGAATGAAGTGAAAAATAAATGAATGAACAAATGAACGAATGAATGAATGAATGAATGAATAAATGAACGAATGAAGAATGAATGAATGAACGAATGAATGAAAAATGAATGAATGGATGAATGAATGAATGAATGAATGAATGAATGAATGAATGAACGGATGAATGAATGAATGAATGAAGGAATGAAAGAATGTACGTACCACGCAATACTGATCCTAGGATCCAGATAATTCAACTTAGATGTCCCCAAGGCTATTTCCTTGTTCTCATCCTATTCAATCAATCAATTATTTAACTAACCAATCAATCCAACAATCAATCAATTTTAATTAATTATTTAATCAATCAGACATTCAATTAATCAATCGACTAGCCAGTCAATCATTACATCGATCAACCATTCATTCTTTCATTTAACATTGCCCAACATTTGTTCCTGTAAAAACTCGTCATCATCATCATCATCATCCCCACAATCGTCATCATCACCAAATCATCACCACCACAATCATCATCACCACCACAATCATCATCACCACCACAATCATCATCACAATCACCATCATCATCATCATCATCAGCCTCCTCAAAATCAACAACATCATCATCGTAATCACCTTATCAGTCAACTGCATCTCCAGTTTGGCCAGTTGTTCATTCAGTCTGTCGTAAGCCTTCTTCTTTTTATTCATTGCCCTGTGTACGGGTACAAATCAATCAATCAATCAATCAATCAATCAATCAATCATTCATTCAATCAATCAATCAATCATTCAATCATTTACTTTTTCTGACAATCACCCTTCCAACCACCCACAGCGCTATCGATCATCCACATTCACTCTTCCTATCAATCAATCAGCCAACCAGTCAACAAACTTACAGATCAATCAGCCAGTCATGTCCAATCATTCATTAATCAATCACTTAATCTGACTCAATCAATAAACCACACACTCAGTCAATAAACCACACACTCAATCAATCAATCAATCAATCAACAACGCAACCACACAATCAACTTACGTTCTAGCAGATTCGGATTTTTTAGCCTTGAAATCAGACTTGGCATCCTTCAACTCCTTCTTGGCGGCTCGCACCAGAGCCTTCTTCGCATCAATCTGATTGGTGCAAGATTGGTGGGTTGATTGATTGATTGGTGAGTTGATTGATTGGTGGTGGGTTGATTGATTTGATGGGTTGATTGTTTGGTGGGTTGATTGATTGATTGGTGGGTTGATTGATTGGTAGGTTGATTGATTGGTGGGTTGATTGATTGACTGATTGGTTGGTGGGTTGATTGATTGACTGATTGATTGGTGGGTTGATTGATTGGTAGGTTGATTGATTGATTGGTAGATTGATTGTTTGGTGGGTTGATTGATAGATTGATTGATAGATTAGTAGATTGATTGAGTGATTGATTGGTAGGTTGATTGATGATTGATTAGTAGATTGATTGATTGATTTGTAGGTTGATTGATTGATTGATTGGTTGGTGGAATGATTAGTTCATGGATGGTTCGAATGATGTTGGAGAGCTAACTGATGGATGGATTAGTTAGTAGGTGATTGGACAATAAATACATCGATAAATCAAGTTGCTTGAAAAAAATCTCACAGAAACATACGCCACTTGACTAATATTCAAACAGATCATCAAAATACAATCCACTCAACAACCAACCAACGGGCAAGTTGGCGAACCAACCGATAGGCCAACCAACAAACCAATCAACAACCAACAAACCAATCAACAACCAACCAACCAATCACCAACCAACCAATTAATCACCAACCAACCAACAAACCAATCAATGACCAACCAACGACTAACGAACCGACACCGACCAACCTTGCCCTGCAGATTCTCCATCTGCTTGTCGAAGTTCTTGGGAGCGGCCCGCTGATGGTTGCAAAGGATGGCCACCTGCCTGTTGGCTCTGTTGTAGGCGAGGATCTTCGCCGGCAGAGGATCGTCTTCTGCATGGGCGCGGGTGGAGTTGGAATTGTAAAATTAACAAGTGAAGTGGCTGAGGTAGCCAGATAACCATCGAGCAATACACGTTGTCGTCCTTATCGACACATTTTCAACATGCACACAAACGACGGCACACTATTTAACTCTGAGGATAACTCAATAGACTACACTCTACAAAAATCTTCTTCACAACACACACACACACACACACACCTTCACAACATACACACAATCTTCTTCAAAACACACAAACACACACACACCAAACACACTAAACACACACACACACATTAAACACACACACTAACACACTTAACACACATACACAAACACACACAGACAGAAGCTAACTGACCGACTGTCAGGAGATCCAGCTGTTCCTGAAGCGTCCGGGACGCATTGTATGTCCTGAAGACTTTTGCTGACAATCCATCCATCAAACTTTGCAGGTGTTTGTTCAAGATGGTCGTCTGGTGTCGTGTTTGTTTTTCAATCAATCAATCAATTAATCAATTAATCAATCAATCAATCAATCAATCAATCAATCAATTAATCAATCAATTAATTAATCAAGCAATCAACAAACCAATCAATCAAACAGCTATGCAATTATTCAATCAACCATTCAGTCAGCCATTCAATCCTCATTCAATCAATCAATCAATCAATCAATCAATCAACCAATCAATCAATCACCAAGCTTACATTTAGCCTATCAAAGAGATCATCTCCAGCCTGCTTGTTCTCCATGAACAGTTGAAGATTCTTAAACACCCTCTTCTCGACTGCTACTGTGTTTGTGTATCTGCATGGGTGTGTGTGTGTGGGTGTGTCTGTGAGTGTGTGTGTTAGTTCTTATTTGTATATTTGTGTGTTTTGATGGTACCTGAGTTGGTGTGTGTGTGTGTCTGTTTGTATGTGTTTGTGTATCTGTGTGTTTGCATGTTTCTACACACATGTATGTATGAATGTATAAAATTGTATAACGATGCAACACAAAATCTCTTTTTCATTGAACCGACTGATGAAACCAGCCAACTGCTCAGCAATCCACCTTCAACCAACCAACAAATCAATCAATCAGTCAACCAATCAATCAATCAGTCAACCAATCAATCAGTCAATCAGTCAACCAATCAGTCAATCAATCAGTCAATCAATCAATCAGTCAACCTATCAATCAACCAATCAATCAACCAATCAGTCAACCAATCAGTCAACCAATCAATCAATCAATCTACCAGTCAACCAACCAATCAATCAATCAATCAATCAATCAATCAACCTGATGGAATCTTTTCCTAGAAAATCGAGCTCGACGACGCACTCCTTGCCCTCGAGTGTCTCGTGCAGTTTGACGTGCTCGTACCTCAGCGAGCAACAGCCAACAGTATCAGCTGTATCCTCGTCTTTCTCATTCCCTGCTCTCAGGGCAAGCTGGTTGATTGATTGATTGGTTGATTGATCGATTGATTGATTGATAGGTTGAGTGGGAGATCCATCGATAGGTTGGTTGGATGGATGATCAAGTGGATGATTATTTATTGGTTGAGTGAGTGAGACTGATTGACGTGTGGTTTGGTTAGTTAGTTAGTTTGTCAGGTGATTGTTAAGTCAGTGGATTGATCAGTTAGGTGATTAGTTGGCATATAAATGATAGACTGCATTATTTATTCGATTTAAACTCAACCACACAGCCAACCACACATCCGGCCACACATCCGACCACACAACTAACCATACAGCCAACCCACAGCCAACCACACAATCACATCCACACAGCCAACCACACAACCAACCACACAACCAACCAGAGAACCGCACAGCCTACCAATCACACAACCACAACCACACAGACAGCCAACCACCAACCGACCGACCTTATCAATAAAATAGAGTGCCACGGCCCGCTGCCTAATTCTCATCTCCTTCGACTTCCAGTCCTCCCTGTAGTTGGCCCTGATCTTGTCGATGCACTTGTGCAGCTTCCTGGCTGTCTCGTACTTCATCCAATCCTTCTCGCCCTTCAGGCGCGAGGCGGCGTTCAACATCACGTACTTTATCGAACCCTGAATGTTCTCCGACCAACTGGCTAGCCACGTTACCTGTGTGTGCGTGTGTGTGTGTGTGACTGGTGCGTGCGTGTGTGTGTGTTTGTGTAGATTTGCTGGTTTGTTTGAACTCATGTCTGTATATGTGTTTGCTAGCTGGTGTGTGTGTTTGTACGTGCACCACCACCACTACCATTCACTGGCTGGTAATTCGTCCGACTTATCAATCAGTCAATCAATCAACCTATCAATTGCTAAGCTCCAACTAATCAATAATTCAAGCAGCTAAACAGCCAACCAACCAACCAATCAACCAACCAACCAGCCAACCAATCAATCAACCAACCAGCCAACCAACCAATCAACCAACCAGCCAACCAACCCATCAATCAACCAACCAACCAATCAATCAATCAACCAATCAACCAACCAACCAACCGTATTATCATGCCTGACTTCCTTCCACTTGTGTCCGGCTGGTGGTTTTGGAACGTTGGGACCCCTGAAGATTGATTAATGGTTGTCGGATGTAATCATCTTCATAACCAACTTTATCATCATCATCATCATCATCATCACCCTTAATACCCTTACTACGACATCCACATCATCATCTTCACCATCATCCATATCACAACATCATCATAACCCTTTCGTTAATTAGAACACAATCATAGAGAGATCGTCATCCCATCATTACACCCATCATACCATCACCATCGTCACCACCGATCACTAACTTGCTACAATTGATGGTAACATCTTCGGGTTGCACCCTCTTCTTCAGCATCCCCTGCTTGGGGTGTTCACCTCTGCCCCGGAACAAACCAGGGGGCTCAATTCGGAAGTTACCTGATGATGATGATCATGATGATGATAATTTTCATGATGATGATGGTCATGATGATGATGAAGATGAACAAATCAATCAATCAAAAATCAATCAATCATTCAACTTATCTATCATTCAATCCATCAGGCCAGCCATCATTCAATCAGCCAGCTAGAACCTCAGTCAGTCAACCTGCTTAGTCGCCTAGCAAGCTGAATATTAATCCAAGCCAACATCCAATCAAATCAAATCAAATCAACAAACCAACCAATCTTCTGTTTGTGTCCGTCAACGATGCAAAATCCATATTCACTCTGTATCTTTTCATTTTCTTTTTTAATAGCCTGTATGATTGATTGATTGATTGGTTGATTGATTGGTGGATTGACTGATTGATTGTTTTATTGATTGGTTGATTGGTGGATTGACTGATTGATTGGTTGGTTGATTGGTTGATGACTGATTGGTGGATTGACTGATTGATTGGTTGGTTGATGACTGATTGGTGGATTGACTGATTGATTGGTTGGTTGATGACTGATTGGTGGATTGACTGATTGATTGATTGATTGTTAGAGGTTAACTGATTGACTGATTAAATGCTGGAGATTGATTGATTGGTTGAATGGTAGATTGACTGACAAGTGTATTGATCAATACCAAAAACTAACAATAGAAGTAATAATAATAACAATAACAATAATAACAATAATGATGATAACAATGAGAGTAGGTAGACAGAGTGAAAGTGGGGTTGCGTGATACTGAGGCGAGTGACAGATGTAAATGGCATCGAGGGGTATATCGGTTTCATCATAGGTAGCCAAACGGCAACCCCCGGATCTCGGGAAAAATGTCGCCTAAATACTGATAATGAGTAATGATGATAATAACGAGTAAAAGTGGTGATAGTGATAAGAATAACCTGCTTCTCCTCTTTAGACATGTTCTTCCTCTCCTCGGACTTCAGCTTGAAGTACTCGAACATCTCCTTGAAGTTGCACTTCTTCAGGTCTGTAATCAGGTGTCGCTCCTCGGCCGTCATTACCTGCGTTCGTTCGTTCGTTCATTTGGTTGGTCCTTCCTTCACTCATTCGCTCATTCATTCATTAGCTCATTCATTCATTCACTCATTCATTCACTCACTCATAGATAGCTAGTTAATGTCTATCAACCCATTCATTCATTCATTCAAAGCTGGATAGTGCTCGTTAGTTTTGTTAGTCTTCATTCCTTCATTCACTTACTCGCTCATTGGTTTACGATCATCATCACCACCAACATCATCATCACCAACATCGTTGTCGTCATCACCATCATCATAAAATTCCCTCATTGTATATTAACAAGTCTTCCACATGCAGACATGCATTAAGACCACTACTTTTTTTATGAATTAATCATTGGGAAATGATGATGGTGATGATGATGATCAAGCCAGACTGATTGACTGATTGATTGAAGGATGAATTGATTGATTGATGGACTGACTGACTGATTGATTGATGGATGATAGTTGACGATTGATGGATTGGTTGAAGGATGGACTGATTGGTTGATTGACTGATTGATTGAAGGATGGACTGATTGATTGAAGAATGGATTGATTGATTGATTGAAGGATTGATTGATTGAAGGATGGATGGATTGATTGAATGATTGACTGACTGTACATGATCGCCCTCCACCCACCCAACCAACCATCACACCAATCAGAAAGAGACCTCAAACAAATCATTCTACCGGGCAAGGTCAGATGAATCTATCAGCCATGTAATTTTGTGATGATATAATGATGATGATGCCGTTTTGATCATCGGTTCACTCAAACATCACTCACTCACTCATCCAATTATACTATTATCATCATCAACATCATTATCACACCTTTATTATTATTATTATTATTATCATTTTGATCAGCATCCTCATTACATTTTCATTAACATCATCATCGTCATCATCATTTTCATCATCATCACCCTCGTCATCATTATCATCATCATCATCGTTATCATCGTCGTCATCATCATAATCTTATGATCCCTCATATGATGATTGAAACTCTCACCATAGTTTTATTAAGACCACTACTTTATATAGCATAATCATCGGGATCCTCTGATTACAACAGTGATCATAGTTCGCAACCAACCAACCAACCAATCAATCAACCAATCAATCAATCAATCAACCAATCAGCTGAAATATCCGACCAACCAAACAAAATTTTTTTCAATTCTTTATAAGTTTTAATATTTATTCATTCATTCATTCGTTCGTTTATTCATCCATTCTATCATCTAACCACTCACTTACCCAACCAACTAATCAGTCACTCAGCTAACCAATTAATCACACACTCAATCAACCAACCAACCGACCAATCAATCAATCAACCAACTAATTAGCTATCCAACCAATCACTCAACTCCCCAACCAACCAACCAACCAACCAACCAACCAGTCACTCGATTACCCCACCAACCAATCACTCAACTCCCCAACCAACCAGTCACCCAACTCCCCAACCAACCGACCAATTACTCGACTGACTACCCAACCAACCAACCTTCCTCCAGTCCCTGAAATAGTTCTTATTGAAGAGGTCTCTGGTGGTGTAGTCGTGGTCGAGCATGCGAGCGTAGAAGCCTGCAACCTCCTCGGCCCCGTCACTCAGGACCACGTGCCGACCGTCGTAGTAAAAGTGAACAGACGTCGGCAGACGCTCGTACAGAGGGGCGAAAAGTGGGCCCTTCAAAAAATTTCATGAGAGAGATCGTGAGAGAGGAGAGGGTTTGTGGCAACTGGTTACAAATAGCATACAAATGATTATATTTATCATCATCAATTTCATGAGAGATAGTGAGAGAGGAGAGGGTTTGTGGCAATTGGTTGCAAATAATAGTATACAAATGATTATATTTACCATCACCATCAGGATCGTCATATTCGTCATCATCATCATCAGGATCATCATATTCATCATCATCATCATCATATTCGTCATCATCATCATCAGGATCATCATATTCGTCATCATCATCATCATATTCGTCATCATCATCATCAGGATCATCATATTCGTCATCATCATCACCACTACCTTGTGCTCCAGAGTTTTCCACTTCACTCCTTCATCCTTCTTCTCTTCCTCCCACCTGGAAAATATATGTCACATCAATGTTGCACCACTACATCACATCAACATCATTATCATTAACACCACTCTATTTCATCAGGGCTTCACCCAAATCATTTCATAATCACCAAATCATCATCATCGGCATCGACACTACATCAACCCATAGCATGGCAATTACATCAAAAACATCAACAAACCATCACTACATCCATCATCACCACTGCACCCACCATCACCACCACCATCCTACCATCACCACATCATCATCTCACCATTTCCATTTTGTCTCCTCCTCCTTGGCCTCCTGCTCCTTACTCTTCTTCCCCTTCTTAGTCGGTGTGGTCGTGGCGGAGGTCGTCGAGCTGGATTTGGAAGGGGTTGATGGTTCGAGTTTGGGTTTTTTGCTCTTGCTGCAACCGCCACTGCTGCTGCTCTTTTGACCCTGATGGAGGGAGAGATGATGTCAGAGAATGTGAATGATGATGACGATGATGACACGGATTGACAGGAGTGATGATGACAAGGAATGAAAATGGTGAGGCCGGCAAGAGGAGATGTTGATGGGGTCACTGACAAGGATGGGATGATAGTGAAGGACGACATCACCATCAAGTACCTTCTTGTCTTCAAGCTTCACCTTCTTCTCCTTCTCCTCCTTCTTGGCTTTCTTTGCTCTAGTATAAAAAATAATTAAATATCAACCATACATGCAAGCGATAACAATGACATGCATCACATTCACCACCACCATTATCACACTCACTACCACCATCACCGACATACTCATCATCATCATCACAAGCAAGCACACCCATCATCATCAGGACATCATTTTCATCATAATCATAGTAATTAGTTTATATTACAACTCTGTTTTAACAATTTCCTCAGATGTACCAACACACACACGCACACACATCACAAACAAACAAACAAGCACACCACACACACACACACACATGAACACATCACAACACACGCACATACACTGCATGTAAAGGGCAGAGATCTCTCCGTACTACCACCACAACAACAGCATGACCAGGAGCTTCAACCACCACACCACACCATCTGACCAGCTTACTCACCTTTTAAACAGTGGAACATCTTCATCATCGTCGTAATCTTCATCACCGTGATCATCATCATCACCATCATCATCATCATTATTATTGTAATCATCATCATCGTCATCATCTGAATTATCTCGCAACTTTCTTTTTAATTTCGACCTGGAAGAGGACGATGGAGATTCTTTTTTGACTGACTTCTCCAGCCTGGCACTCTGCAGGGGACAAATTAAATCACCGAAAATTATCACCACCACCATCATCTTCTTCATCATTATCTTCTTCATCATCATCATCATCAATCTTCTTACATACTACACAAGCGCCAATGATGATGATAATAATAATAATAATAATAATAATAATAATAATAATAATAATAATAAACGTACCAGTGGAACATCATCATCATCGTCATTGTAGCTATTGTTATTGTTGTTGTTCGTGGGTGTGTTTTCTGTTTTTACCTTGTTCATTCTAGTTGACTTTTTTGTGAATAATAATAATAATAACTATAATAAGATAATAATAATAACTATAATAGTAAAAGTAACAAGTATAATAGAAATAATAATAATAATAATATGACAATAACAATAATAATGATTCACAAATACAATCACTCTTTATCGATGGAAAAATAAAAATGTCAAGAATTCAAAAAGAAATGCCAAACCACTGACATTTACATATACAAATTAATCAGCCAACCAACGAACTCTTCAATCAACAAACCAACCAACCAACCAATCAATCAATCATGCAATCAGCAAAAATTTCACTATCTTCCTAACCAATGGTGCATCTTCATCATCAGAGAATCCTGCCCCTGACTTTTTGACGGGTGTGTTGGAATTTGATCTGGGCTCGTGTTTGATCTCCTTCTTATAATGGGGCTTGACTGTGGTGGCCGATTTCGCCAGCATTTCTGAAAATGATGGACCAGTGCTTTTCGGCTCTGAATCAGATGTCGATTTTTGACTCGAGTGGCCATTTTGTCTATTGTAGTAATCTGAGTCATCCCCCATGCTTCTTGTGTTGTGGCCACTCATTAAGTTGTCTGCAAGCAAAGTAATGGATTAGATTAGGGTAAAATAAGCCCCTAGATGTGATTCATTGTTGTTGTAAGTGTTGTTGATGTATAAGTTTATAATTAAAAATCAACTAGCTATTAAATATTTCCTTGAAAAAAAAACTGATTCACAATTGAATAAAAAAAATTAATTTGATCAACAATAATAGTCAAAATCAAAAATTAACAAAATTTTAATTAACTAATTTGAAATTAATAAAAAATATTAGAGGGGAATTGAGCATAGATTCATTTTTAAATTTGACACACACGCACCACACTACACACAGCAGCAAGCCAAAACTGAACATGCCATAATTTTCATCAAAAAAATGATTTAAATCTAAAATTCTTCCAACTCACCGGCCATCACTTTAGAAAAATAAAAACCTTCAACAAAAATATCACGAAATTTCAATTGGAAAAACTTGAACACGTTGGCAACGAAGCAATGCGACTTAGAAATTTTCAGCCATTTTATGTCTGAACGGCGATCGATCGGAAGCGAATTTAACGTGTAAAAAATAAATTTAAAAACAATCCCCCAACGTCGACGGCAAAACAGAAAGTAAAATAACTTACGATTGGTGATTTCAGGCAGATGGAGATTAGGACAACTGAATATTCTGAAGTCAAAATCGTCTAAAATTTCAAAGACACGAATCGGACTTAGAAAATTTTCCGAGCTATGAGACAATGAAAATGACGAAGTACCTATTTATAGCTATTGCCCATGCGCGATCAGGGATGGGCGAATACAGATTTTATTTATAATTTTATCCATATACTTCCGTTTTTATCTATGTTGTAAAATTGTAAAAATTTGAATGAATGTAAATATGTATGTACGTTGTATATGTATTCTATATATATATATATATATATATGTTTATTCTATATATATATATATATATATATGTGTGTGTGTGTGTGTGTGTGTGTGTGTGTGTGTGTGTGTGTGTGTGTGTGTGTGTGTGTGTGTGTGTGTGTGTGTAAAAAAATAAATGTATGTAAATATGCAAAAAATTTTTTTTCATTATTCTTTAAAATCAGGATCTGACAGACGCAGAAACTGTAACAACATGCAAGACAGTAAAACAAAATTAAACAAATAAGAAAATCAATACAAAAAGTGAGGAAGAGAAGTGATAAAACATGAAAAAAAAATATGTTAGAATAAAATAAGTAATAATAATAAGAGAAATAAAAGAAAAGTAATTGACGATGGAATATAAAATGAAGTAACGGCAAATTGATAGACCAGATGATGACTTAATTAGTGAGGTGATCGATAAATAAAGGCTAGACCTGTGAGTGAAAAAATTTTAATGAATATTAATATGTTTGATGACTTAGTAATAAACTAAATGATGACTTAGTGAGTTAGTGAGGTGATCGATAAGAGTGAGGTGATCAATAAGTAAAAACTAGTTCAGTAATGATGAAGTTTTCTTAAGTGCTAATATGTTTGAGGTGGCTTGTGATGAAGGTCTTTTCCTGGTATGTAGATTGGGTGACGACTTTATAGTTATGTTTGCGCTGACGAAGGTTGTGTGTTGTAGTTTTGATTGGTGGTAGTAAAGGATGGATGACGTGGTTATTGTTATTTTCTACTTTCTTGAACAGCCTTGAATCGAGTGTGTTGAATATCTGGATATGAAACAGGTAGGTAGTTGAAGCGAATTAGTTTTTTGATAGAGATTGTAGCTGCTGAAGTTGTTGTTGCGTGGCAAAACCAGACCAGGAGGGAGCTGCATATTTGATGCGTGAGATGATGAGTGATTCGGCGATGTCGAATAATTTGATGCCTCTGAGACCATGTGAGCGAAGTGTTTTGAGTGCGGGAAATGTTTGAAAGCCTTTTGCGATGATGTAATTGATATGAGGTGCTATGTTGAGTGTGGAGGTGATTCAGGTAAATGTGATGCTTAATATTTTTAGTTGATTTGAGCGAATGATTGATGGGTGTTCAGGAGGTAATGTTATTTTTTTACGGCTATTGTGAATGATGAGTTCGAATGATTTATTGGGATTAAGTGAAAGGTTACATCGTTTTGACCATGTGGTTAATGAGTCGAGTTCTGTAAATAATTGTATAAATAAATGTATGTAAATATGCTTGTGTTCATATCTTAAAACAAAACTTTTCATTTAACAACTATATATTAAAAAAATTCGTTTTATTAATTATAATTAACAAATGAAAGCTCACAGAGACGGGCGTTTGGTTCTATTCATAGATTGAAATAGAAACTAGCTTATGTAGGTATATCTAATTACTGTTATATTTTCTAAAACCGCTAGTGCAGGCGCGGGTAGGTAGTTCACACTCTCAAAAATATTTGATAAAACATTGAAATATTAATGTTATAACGAAAAATTAGGGAGAGGCTTTTGGGTAGAACCAGAGTTAACTGTGAAATTTTTCAGTTTTTCTGACCCCATGAAAAATTGTGGATTACAAAAAGGTCTGCAACTTTTGAAGTTTTTATTTCGGCGACATCCAAAAAAATTTTTAGTTGCGACCCTATCTAAAAAACAGAATGAATTTAATCATAATGGATTTTTAATAAAAAATTTATAATTGTCGATCGCCAAACTGAAAATGCTTTCTTTTCGAGAAGAAAAAATAAATTTAACAAGTTAGAGTTAAGCTAAATATATCATCAGGTTATTATAATTACATGGAGTTAAGTTGAAATTTCAACAAAAAATCAAATATTATTGAAAATATTTCGAGTATGTACAAAACGGCTTGATCAAAAGTTGAATGCTGTTAAAGAAGTTCGTTTTCGGTGACAGTTTTAGCCAAAACTGTAATGAAGGCCAAATGCTCAATTGGACCAAAATTCCAGTTTCAGTTGGACACTAATGCTATTTAGCATTGATACATAAATGAAACAACGATGTGTGTGTGGTTCGGAGTGGTGTCACCAGCTCTCACTTTATTCTCTCTCTTCTTAGAAGCAAGACGACAGAATAGAGTCTTGACATCGTTCGATCCAAAAATCTTCCGACAGATGCTGCTACGTTACTGAAATTAAATGTTGGATATAACCGTTTGGCGTTTGCAAACGTAGTATAGATGTGAGACAAGATGAGCCTGACAGTCTAACTGAAAATGCTGAATATGCTTACTGGCTGGCAAGCTTCACGAATGGTTTCATTTGGAATGTAGTTGCCGAATGATTGGACGAAATATTTAATTCGACTTAAAAATGAAGCTTGAAGACAGTAGAAGATAACCTAGGACTGTGTGCACGCATAAAAAATATAATGGCATATAAATGTTCAGATATTATGAATATCAAACATTAAAACAGTGTAATAGGTTGTAAGCGAATTTATTTTACTTTAGTATTTTCTTAAATTTTTTATTAAAATGCAGATAGTTTGTTAATTCACATTGAAAGTCTTCTTTAAACAGGTCATTGCAAGTTTTAAGTTCTCTTCAGAAACACGATGATACAACATACATACATACATACATACATACATACATACATACATACATACATACATACATACATACATACATACATACATACATACATACATACATACATACATACATACATATACATACATACATACATATACATACATACAAAAGCAATAACGACCGTTCCAGATGAGGGCAAACAAAAGGAACGGAAAGTTATCTCAAATATTGGGACGTGTGATTTACCTGTGATTGAATGATTGAATGATTGATTGATTGATTGATTGATTGACTGATCTATTAATTATTAAATGAATGAACAAATGAATGAATGAATGAACATAAGGACAAACAAAAATAAATAAATATATTAGTTTTCCAAGTAGATCAATTGATTGTTGGTCAATAAATAGCAAGCAGCAGCTAACCCATATCAATATATTAACACTAGATCATTCATCCAGTGCATCTGCACCTTGCATATAAATGTTCATTCCACTTTAGCCCATTTATAAAACAATCATTTCCTCAATAAAACAGATAAGGCGGGAAACATCCAAGATAACAGATACAAGATTATATATATATAGAGAGAGAGAGAGAGAAAGAGAGAGAGAGAAAGAGGATGATAGAAAGAGAGAGGGTGATAGAAAGAGAGAGGGGGATAGAAAGAGAGAGAGAAAGAAAGAGGGTGATAGAAAGAGAGAGGGGGATAGAAAGAGAGAGAGAGAAAAAAAGAGGGTGAGAGAATGAGAGAGGGGGATAGAAAGAGAGAGAGAGAGAAAGAAAGAGGGTGAGAGAAAGAGAGAGGGGGATAGAAAAAGAGAGAGAGAAAGAAAGAGGGTGAGAGAAAGAGAGAGAGGCAGAGAGAGAGAGAGAGAGAGAGAGAGAGAGAGAGAGAGAGAGAGTTGGCGCTTATAAATAGAGAGTTGAGTTTGTGAAATTCACAAACTATCGTCGGTCTCGGTGTTCCTTGTCCATGAGGTAAGTGTGATAATTATTATTATTATTATGTATATGTGTGTGCGTGTGTATGTGTGTTTGCGCGCGTTTATTAAACGAGTGTAAAATGAAAAAAATGAAGATGGATAATTATTTTGTGTGGTCTTGGTAAGTAATAAATAATAACCAAGTTAAATTTTTAAATAATAATAATAATATTATTAATAGTAATAATAATAATATTATTAATATTAATAATAATAATAATAACAGCCTATTAACATTAATAATAATAATAATAGTTTTTTTTTATTCTCAGCCATAGTTTCATCACACCATCATCGTCAAACTGCCCACTGAGGAGGTGAGCGCGCTGAAAGGTGATGATGACTTATTTCATTTCATAATTTTTATGGTGTAACAAATAATAATATAATAATAAATATTATGCTTGTATTTTTATTACAAATTATAACAATAATAATAATTAAATAATTAGATGATATATAGTTATTATTATTATTATTATCATTATTATTGTTGTTATTATTATCATCACTCTTATTATGGTTGTTGTATATTTATAGTAACATTTACAGTAAGCATCGTCATGATCATGTAACAAACACTTATCAAGCAGTAAGGAATGTGGAACGTAAGAAAGTATAAAGAGAGAGAGAGAGAGAGAAGGGAAAAGGAAAGAGAGTAAAAAAGAGAGAGATGCAACGAGAAACAATGAAACAATGGGAGAACAGGAGAAAGAGAAGAATTCACAGTTAGAAAGAAAGTGATAAGCTAGAAAGAGAGAGAGAGAAAGAAAGAGAGAGAGACAGAGAGAGACAGAGAGAGACAGAGAGAGAGAGAAAGAGAGAGTTTGAAAAAAAGGGAAAAGAATATGTTTAAAAAAAAAGTTGGAGTTTAGATGAGAGAGTGAAAGAGAGAAAAACTGATGTATGCAGGAAAAACGCAAGATTGAAAAAAAGGAAGACAGAAAAGGTCAAAGGTCATTTGCACTTTTCAAAGGTTCAGGAAAATTAAAAACGCGTTATGAATACGTGCTGGACGACGCATCACACTCGGAGCATGTGTTAGGCGGAGGAGATCGTACTCGAACCTGGTCACCGCGAAACAACAACAGGCCACTTTAACCACTTGGCCATCACGCCGCCCATCAAAAAAAGAGATTGCAAGAAAAAAGAGAGAGAAAGAGAGAGAGAGAGAGAGAGAGAGAGTAGAAGAGGAAGAATGAAGAAACAAAAAACAAAGGATGGCGGAAAGAGCAGCGTGACTCTCAGGTAGATGAGTGAGTGATGACAGATGGAAACTGTAGCATATAAAAGTTTGCCACGCACACACACACAAACCAACATACAAACAAAAAAAACATACATACAAACAAACAAACAAGACAAAAAGACGGATAGACAGACAGACAGACAGACACACACAGACACACACACGCACACACACAGATATAAATTCATATGTCCACACACTCAGCCCGCCCACTCGATGGTTGGAATAATTAATTAGAACGACGACGAGGAGGTCTTCCAAATGAGTGAAAGAAAGAAAGAATGAAAGAAGAGAGATTGATGGAAAGATAAAATAACCGATGATTGAAAAAGAGAAGGAAGCTGATTGATGGATGAAAGTTGAGTGGATGAGTGAGGTAGATGAATGATGAGTGAGTGAGTGAGTGAGTGAGTGAGTGAGTGAGTGAGTGAGTGAGTGAGTGAGTAAGTGAGTGAGTGAGTGAGTGAGTGAAAAAGAAAATAAAGCGATAAAGATTCATTTTATCCTGTCAAAAAATGTTGTTGATCTGAAAGAATATGTCAATCATTCAATCCAATTATCCAATCATTCAATCCAATTATCCAATCAGTCAGTCAATCAAACGTTTAATTGATCAACAAATTTACAAGTATTCGTTCGTTTGTTCGTTCGTTAAATCATTCATTCATTCGTTCGTTCGTTCGTTCGTTCATTCATTCATTTATTCATTTATTCATTTATTCATTTATTCATTCATTCTTTTGTTCATTCATTCATTCATCCATCCATCCATACATCCATCCATCCATCCGTGAGTGAGTGAGTGAGAGTGAGTGAGTGAATGAATGAATAAATGAAGGAATGAATGAAGGAACGAAAGAACGAATGAATGAATGAATGAACGAAAGAACAAATCAATGAATGAGTGGAAGAAGGATAAAAGAAAGAGATAAATAAATGCGCGAATGGACAAGTTTCTATGAATAGGTGGATAAATGAGTGAATGAATGAATGAATGGATGAATGGAGAGAAGAAAATGTGAATAAATAAAATTCAATGAATGAATGAAGTAAATGCTAATGCTTTCAATATGAAAGAAAAACAGACAGAAATGTAAATAAATTAAACACGCACAAACATACAACATACATACACACATGCATTCACACACACACACACACACACACACAAACATTCACACACACACGCACACACATATATATATATATACATACAGGTCAAACAATGCTTATCTCAATCAGTTCATTCAAGCTGATTCTTATTCTCTTCTTAACAACGGTAGCCAATGGTGGGAACTCAACGTCAATTAAGAGTGAATTCAATCGGCCCAACAATCGCGATGGCGCTGGCGAAAATTTTGGCGTCAATTTTCGAGACGAAAATTCTCGCGAGAATTTCGGCGAAAAATTTGCTAGCGACGATGATTTGAAAATTGCATCCAACTATTATGAGGGTGATGACGACAGGTTTAAATTGTTTCTCAGCGAAAATAAAATAGTCCGTTTTGATAACGATGATGAATATGACAGGAAAAGTAGTGATAATGATTATGATCACAGCACTGATGATGATGACGATGTCGTTGGTACGCAACCGCGCCACACGAATTTCGACAAAAAGTGGCGCGACCTGCTGTCGCCACTCCATCAGAAGCCGCTACTTAAACGTCCTCAACAGCAGCAGCAGCACGACATTGTGGCGAAAAATTCCCATAAACTCATTTTGAGCAAAAGGTTTTACAATCCCAAGTTAGTTAAAAAGATATTATTATTATTTTTATTATTATTATATTTATTATTATTAACACTATTTTTATTTTATTATTTTCATCTTATTTGAGTTACTATTATCTGCTGTAGTAGTAGCAGCGTTATTATTGTTATTATTAATATTTAATTAAATAAAACAAATTATTGCTTAGCTAAAATATTACTTACAAATTTATATACACAAAAGTTAAATAAATTCCAATCTCATTTGGACTCAACACACTCAATCACTGTTAGCCGTGAAATCCTCGACAGCAACACCAAAGTAATATACCAGAACACCAACTACACGCATCTTAAAATTGCAGAAGCAGTCCTAATTGACATCAATAAACCAAAAATAAATATACAACAAAAAATGACAACCTCACTTCCAAACCGGAGCTTAACCAACAATGAAAACAAAGAAGTAATAAAAACTAGCATTGTAAATAGTGACAAAGAAGAATATGATGCTATCCATGAAGAAAAGGTAACCAACGAAGATTGACCAGCCAATAAAGAAACCTGACACCTAATTTCCATCTAAGTTCACTTTGACAAAGTCAATATTTCCCTATATAAACTATCGGCCAAAAAATCATAAATTGAGAAGTCGATTGGATCTGAACGAAGCAGACATGTGTCTTAAATGGCTGTGGGTGACTCGAATTAACTCACGAATGTTTCCACCGATTTCTTCAGATAAAAAGATTTCAAGATTGTACCAACTGTAAATGGTTCAACCAGCTTCAACCTCGCCTTTTCTATTCAGTTCAGTTATGACCAGCTCTGTAGAAAATTTTTCTGTAAAATCAAACTGACGTTTTGTAAGCACATTATTTAAATTGAAAAAACTGGTATGATTGAGATTGAACAAATCTTTAAAATGTTCTTTTTTGGCCGATGGCGGTACACTTTCTCAGCTGACCAAGCTCCCTGCACCTGGTCTGACATTCATAAGGTTCCGCAAGGATCTGAAAAAAAACTTTCTTGCTTGTCTAGTGAACGTTCGTTCATATAAGTAGCATATATATATATATATGTGTGTGTGTGTGTGTGTGTGTGTGTGTGTGTGTGTGTGTGTATGTATGATTGAGATTGAACAAATCTTTAAAATGTTCTTTTCATTTTTTACTTCTTAATTGGAATGATTTTTGAATCTTTCAAGTTTGACGGATGGACACTTTTTTCTATTAAGAGATCCAATAAACGTTATTGGACGCGTGCAGTGTAATGAATAGTCGCAACAGCATTTACTTGTGTACAGTTGCGTACAGTTGTGTACAGTTGTGTACAGTTGCGTACAGTTGTGTCTGCACAGTTCATACCCGATGGACGTTTCTGGGTAGACTGAATTGACTGCGTTGACGGTGTCTTTCGTAGTTTCGTACGTGCAGAAAACGAACATGGAAGAAGATTTATGAAAGAAATTTCTATCTACTCTCAGCTGGAACGTCCTTCAGCACTCCAGGTGTCGGAGTGCTGAAGGACGAGCTCATTCACCAAGAGCTCATTCATTCGAATATCGTCCCGCTGGGTCGTTTCGCCGTCGGGCTTTAAAAATTTCATTTCGTTTTCATTTCATTTTTTATATCCATCGATTAATTTTTTATGATAGACCATCATTTTTTTCACATTTTTTACTCTTTCGTTTCTATTTATCCAGGATATTTCATTCAACACACGTGCGCGCACGCACACACACACGCGCACGTACACACAGACACACACGCACGCACACACATATAAATATATATTAATATATTTATTTTTATATATATAATATTTTTTATTTCTATTTATATATGCTCAAATTTATTTTTTATTTATTTATTTTTATTTATATAATTTTTTGTATATTGTTGAAGTATTTGGTTGACTAAATGAACGTGGTTTATGTTGTTGTCGTGAACACGCTAATGATGCTCGAATTTGTGCTTCCTTTTTTCCACACGAGATGCCGTTGGAGTAGTTAGTTGAATGTAGACTTGGTATTAATTTGTGGTTGGATCGAAATAAGTTGAAAGATTAGCCATATTGATGATCCGACATAAATATGTTGTTTACATTATCAATGGTAGTTTTCACTCCAACAAGATCCACCACCATTTGCGCTATGTGTCAATTTTTGAAGCTGAAAATTATTTCCAGCCTTGCTAGAAACCTGTCGAATGAGCCGACACATAGGTGCCCGAAGTTTGCAGATTTAAACACGTACATATTGTTAGGTTAGCTGAACGTAGACAACGATAGAAAGAGACCTGATCAGTGGTTTAATAAAAGTTCCTTGAAGGTCACCCTGGTTGGTGACGACCTCAATGCAGTTGTCGTGGTTAGGTCCAGGTGATGCGAAGAGGCTTTGTTTTATAGCCAGCTTGTGGCGAAAGAGTCAGCGTCTAAATATTTCTTGATGATTGAGTATTTGATTATTTATCAAAAATTATTTGTTGAGAACTGTCTTGAAACAAAAATATTTTATTATTTCCCGTTATATTTATTAACTGATGTTAATCCATTAACCGCTAAATAAATAAGAGCCATCGTGAAAAAATATAATAATTTGGCCGATAGAAACACAAGTTTAACAAAAGTAGAAAAAAAAATTTCGCCCAACGTGGGGCTCGAACCCACGACCCTGAGATTAAGAGTCTCATGCTCTACCGACTGAGCTAGCCGGGCTGTACAATGTAGCGTGCTTTATTACCTTTTAGAATACTATCGTAAACAAAGTTTTAATTGAAAGTTTGCTTACTTGTGATTTAAAACCAACAAATGAAATATAAAATAACAATTTGTAACATTTTAAGAAAAAAATATAAATCAATATTATTTTCATCTGGAATAATTTATTAAAAATATTATGTGAGAAAAATATTACGAAGATTTCCTTAATGGCGTCATAATATAATATAATTTCTAACCCAACCTGTCTATTTATTATTTAATAATAATATATTATATAATAATTATATAATAATAACATCGTTGATGGCAATAATAACGAAAGATACCATTAGCAACACAACACAATATTAGCAATAACAAAGTTACATTAATTTTACTATTTTAATATAACGAAGATAATAATAATAATAACAGAATAATATATAATATCAATATTTTATATTATTTTTCAAATAGTTGATAATTTACAATTCTTTCCAAAATTTCAGAAAGATGGTACCAGTAAGGACGAGCAGACGAAATGACCGATACGACTCATACGGTTTGGCCGGCCGATTCGGTTAAATAAATCATATATATATATATATGATTAAGACTGTAAGAAATGCAATTATTGATGAAAATCACATCATATTCGGTGTTAGTTAACTTCCAATTTAACTTTTCGATTTTTCTAACGGTTGATCGTAAATCATTTTCAAGTTTTTTTAGTTCAAAACCAAAATTTTTGTTTGTTTTATACATGATAGAATAACTAACGTAACGCAGAACATGCTGTGATTTCCAACAATTATATATATATACATATATATATTACATACTCTTTTTTTTATTTATAATATTAATATTGAAAATAAAATTATTGCATTTCAATTAATAAAAGAAAAACCAATATTCGTCTACTTCTAATTTATTTATTTATAATATTATTTATTTTTCATAATTATATATTTATTTATATATAATTTATTTGAAATTCATTTAAAACATGTGGATAACTTAATTGCAATACCTATTTAATATACACTTCATAACTTATCTCGATTAGACATGTTAGCGTGGCGTTGGAGGACTGACTCTCCGTCTGAAGAGGTTGACATTTCTAGACAGTTGTTGAATCTGTCCCTTTTTTTAACAAACCTTTGATCTTTGGTCATCGCGCAATATTTGATTTCGGAAATATGATCTTTCATTGCTTCAACCATTTACCTGGCACGAATCGGGTAGAGGTCTATCGTTGGCGTGTCTTTACAGCTTTGAGGGCCGGGATTAGTCGGACTGAGTCATGAAGAATGTACCTCGTTGACTTTGTTTTAACCGTTGTATGATCCACTCTAAAATATTTGTGTATCGAATTTATCGAACAATTCATCAAAAGATGATTAAAGAATTTAAAAACTTTTGCACGGATATCGGGTTGGTGATGTTCTTATCTTCACAGTCTTTTCATCACAACCAACATGGAAATAAGTCGCCATCCACACTAACAAAAGAATTGTTTAACTAATTTGTAACGCAGATGTTGGGTGAAATTTCGCAATACAATTTGCAAACGGGTGTAGGTACAATATCTAGAGCTCCGATCGGCATTAAAAACGTTTTAGTAAAATGCTACTTTAACAACACAAAATTGTCACAAAATGAGCATAGAAATGAGATTTTAATTTAAGAAACATCGGCATATTCTTCGCAATACAATCAACGACTGGAACTAACTTTAAAACTGATGTATTGGAAACGAATATAAAATTATGTACAACAAATACAGCTGAACAATTCAGGTCAACATTTGCTTTGCGGATACGTAATAACAACAATAATTATAATTAAATTAATATTGATAGAAGCATCATGAACCATGCCTAGAGCTCCAATAAACTTAAATTTTAATAATAACAACAATAAAAACAACATTATTACTACTACCAGTAGCAATAACAACAGTACCACTACAATCGCTGCTACTGTAATATTGTCACTAATAATAATAAAGTTTACGATAATAATAATAATAAATAATTTTATTAATAATAATTGATAATTAGTATTAAAGAAGTAAAATAATATTCTTTCAGGATCAGGTTAAGGCCCTATTCATGAATTCTTCTGATCAGACTGTCAATAATAAGATGGGAACATCTTTTTATTCTCATCATAAAAACGTGACAATGGAAAAGGATTAATGTTCTATGGAGTAAAATAAAATCACGAAGCAATCCGCAAAGCTGGACGTCCTAGAGGTTGAGAGGACGTGTGCAACGAGGACAGATTAATTCTAAATAATAATAACAATAACAACAATAAGAACAGCAATAATAATAATAAATTAATAATATTCCTCTGGGATTGGGTCGGATTGGGGGATTGTTAGGCCCCTTTCCTTCAGGGCCCTCTTCTTGAATTCCTCGGCATCCAGTCGTTCCTGCCTCTCTTTTTCCTGCAACATCAAAATTTCATCTATATTCACCTTTGTTAGTTTTGTCATGCTCTCCAGTTCTGGATCCTGGAATAATTTTTGTTGGCTAGTGGTTATATTTAAAGCAAAAACAAACCAATAGCAAGAAAAAAAAACTGAAAACCCTAACAATTTCACCGAGCAGGACGACATTTTCACCTCTAACGATGAAAATTCCTCGAGGAATGTCCCCAAACTTGTCCCCGACATAAATTCGTTCAATCGTCTGCTGCAGTACCAAGTTGGCTGAAGGGATAATTAGTCAAATTAGAATTGGTGAACTATTAAATTGTAAATCAAAAAGTTTAAATAAGCTGCTGACTTGAATTCACCTCACTAACTACTGTATATGAAAGAAAAAAAATAAAAAAAAAAATTTTAAAATAAAAGTACCTTAAATTAAATTAAATTTAATACATATATTTCTTTACAAAAATTATTTTGAAATGTGTTACAATATTTTATATTAGATCATTCATTCATTTGTTCATTCATTCGTTCATTTATTATTTTAATATTTAACATCTCTGTCCTCCGTTCAAAGCACCTCATTTTGGTGCAAGAAAGTTTCCAGTTACAGCTGGAACCCATTACCGATTGATTTAAAAGTCAACTCTGACATCAGTCGTGACGCCTTTAGAGGCGGCTTGAAGCATCATTTTTTCAAAAAACGGATCACAATTTTGAAGATAGCTCAATAGAGGCATTTTACAAATTTACAATGCAATGCAATCTAAAAAAAAACAAGGATATGAGGCAGACCAAATCAAATTCTTCAAAACAAAACATTACATATAATATAATTAAATGAATAAATTATAATAAAAAAGATAATTTATTGTAAATGAAGTAACAAAGTGCACCCACCAAACTGGTCGATACTTCTTAGGTAACCAATCAGAGTCCTGCTGTCTCGGAGCACGACCAACAACTTTTCTAAACAATGAACAAATGCTTGAATGAATGAATGAAGAAGCTTACAAATTAATTAATGAAGTTAAATAAATTCCGCTTTTTTTTTCTAAATTTTATTTAGAAACAAATTAAGTTTCAGTGAAATTGTCAGAGTCAACCACATTGCAAAATTGTTTTTAATTGCAAGTGCAAAAAATCTTCAGCCATAAGATGACCGCTTTTGTCATACCATCCCCAATGAGCTCATGTCAAATAGCACCGACCATTTTAACTTTCAGAAGTTAAGAGATTTGTTTTAAATTGTTCCATGAAATTTTACCAAAAAAAATTATTCAAATAAAAAATAAAACTAATTATAAACCATACCATGAGAGTGAGGAATTTATATTTTTTAATTAGGTGAAGTAAGAATAAAACAAAGGTTAACTGTCTATTACACTTTTCCTAGGTTCAGCTTCAGAGGAATCATAAACACACAAACGGCCTATTTGAATACGTTCTCTAAACAAAACATTTGATTTGTGGTGGTCTTGTTGTCATATTCAAACCCAGTCCCCGCATGCACTGCAAAACACCACCAGGCTACCTTAAAGTCCGGGCCATCACATCGCCCAAAATGATGGTCACCCATAAGGTAGCTTATCTTAACTTAAACAAGCCAAACTGTGAATTGTTCTAAGCAAAAAGCAAAACTTTAGCTTTTTCTGACTCTTTTTTTCTCTCGAACACTCTACCTCCTTCTCTATTACTACTTCTCCATCACTTTTCATTCTCCAACTATGTATTTCAATCTCATCATCATGTATATATATTATACATATATGTATGTATATATTTGTTGAGTTCAGAGCGGATCTCTAAAAACTCATCCAATTGCAAAAATCCCTAAGGAGTGCTGTTGAACATCATGAAGATAGTGCTTTATAATTTACTTGAGTGATTGATTGAACGCACAGTTTTTTACAGTAACGCCCGGTAATATTTTAACTGCTAAACTAAAGCATCTGAAAAAAAGAGGACAGTGTATTTGTGATAGATTCTGATAACGTAATGATCTTAATGGAACATATACAATAAATGATATGCTTATTACCACTTCTCAGCACATATACCAATTACCCACAGGGCATCGAACCGTAGTTTTTTCGTTTCGGCTTACCGTTTTGGTTCAATCAGCATAATGAATTTTGGTTCGGTTCGGTTCCGGTTTTCGTTCCTGAAAAAATATCTGTTTTTTTTTTGGTTTTCGGTTTTGCTCAGAAACTTAATTTTTTCAAGCATAGTTCCTTAAACGCATTTAACAGACATCCAACTATCACCACAATGCCAATTTGAATTAAATTTTAGATTGTGAATAATAAGAAATCAATAACAAAAATGATTTTTAAATGTTGTCAGTATAAAAGGAAACATTTTTAATATTTTTTTCCAACAAATTAAAACAATCATTACAAAGATATTTTGAAATCACTAACATAAATACAAGATTGTTTTAAAAAAGATGAAAATTTTCTCTGATTATTAATATATCTTCTAAAATGTTTTCATTGAAACCACTTCTGCAGTCTCTGAAGATAAATTTTAATCCAGAAATAGATGCTTCCAGGCTCACTTGTATAGCCGGTACTTCAAATTTTGAAGATGATCGCACTTGATCTCTAATTTCTCCGATTATACTGGATTAACTTCACGTGGCAATTCTTACTCAAAATATTGGCAAACTCAGTCGGAAAAACAAATGAAAAGAGAATTAACAAATTTTCAAAGATAATAAAAATTAACATGGAATTTTAAAAGACGAAACATTATCTAAATATTTTTTTTCTGAATTTGACAAAAATATTTTTTTAAAATTTTTAGCATCGAACCACTATTTATTTTGTTACGGTGTTTGGTTCAACTAGCAAACGATATTTTGGTTTGGTTATGATTTTTGTTCTGAGCAAAATTTTGGTTTTTAATGGTTTTTGGTTACGGTTCAGTTCCGGTTCAATGCCCTGATTACCCCTTACAACTTTTCTTATTTTATAGCACCCCAAACTTTTTGATCATACTTTTTAAACTAAAACCAAAGATTTGCTAATGAATGTTTGCTAGCTTTTCCCAAGTAAAAAAAGGGCAGAGTGCAGAGGCAGAGGCCCATACCAAACTCATTCCTACTGATATGATTGCCTAAGCCTAGAAATCGTAAAATTAAATTATGGAGGAACAGAAAAAAGTGATAAAATATAATACTGTCAATTTCTTCGATTAGACTGGCCGTCCCCGGCAAAAAACTCATCCTGGGAGTGCTGGTGATGGTGGTATATGGGTCTCTTTGCACCGTGGCGGGGATGTATTAATAACTAACTATAAATAACTTTTATATTTTAATAAAACCTTTGCGCATAAATTAGTATTTACATATTTCAAATTACTATGTTAACAAAATGGGAAAGTAACGCCACAGAAAACAAAATTTATCAAGCCATCTTTTAAATATCAGCGTTTAAAAGTGAATTTTAATCTTACACCAAGTACGAGAGATGAGTGAGTTTGTTAACTTTTTCTCGCATCTAAAATTTTTTTTTCTATTATTAAAACATTAATTAAATTTATTAAATTAAAATATAAATAAAACAATTATATCATATTTTTTTTAATTATAGAGTTTTTAAAATTTGTATCTATAAATTTGAAACTTGGCTTAATTTTTAGCACGTGTGTGTTGTATAAATAAACATTATCGATGTGTTTACTACATTATAATTTATTAATTATATTATGGTAAAGTAATTATTTATTAAAATTAATGTTGAATAAAATCAAATTATTAAATAATTAATTAATTAATTTGATGCATCGAACTAAGAAATATTTGTTTATTAACTTTTATTTTTATTTATTTTTAAATTTCAATGTAATTATTTTTTTATATTTTATTAAAATAAAAATAAATTAAATAATTTTGCTTGTTAATTAAATTAATTAATTGAAAAACTTAGAAATAATTCAAAGGAAATTAATGAAAGATTTTTCCTAAAAATATCTTATTTCTAATAATCAAAAATTGAAAAAAATGTTAGTTTTTTTTATCTTTTATTATTTTATTTTATTTTAATTAAAAATTAATTAATTTTTATTTTTTGTACTTAATTAATATTATTTTCAAATAAAAAAAAATCTTTTTTTTTTTGTAAATTAATTATAGCAGTTATATAATAATATAATATAATAATTATATTAAATAAAATAAATAAGTTATGTTTACTTTAATATTACTATTATTTAATAAGAATTAGTTGAAATAATATTATAATAAAATAAAGTAGGAGCTCTGATCTGGCTAGCAAGTGATAATTGATATTTTTTTCTAACTTCGTCACCGACCCGTCTTGTTCCAACCATCCTAATCCATTTCTAACTCAGTTATTTCTTCAGCATGTAATTTGGTTTTTTAGCCTAAAGTTGAAAAAGTTTTTGAAATTTGGTGCGGTAATGGAAAGGTTGCTTGCTTGTGCAGTTTGATGTTTTGATTTCAGGTTTGTAGACAGGCTTTCTGGCATTCGGAGGATATGACCGAGGAGTTTGAGTGATTGATTTCTTTCTCTTTTGATATATCTCACTCCCTCTGTTCGTCGTGTCTACCTTTGATTGCTGAATACCAAGCGTGATTCTGTAGATTTTTCGAATGAAGACGTCCACCTTAGTTTTCCATCGGATGTCTATGATTCACAGCCATACAGAAGGGCTGAAGTGGGACAGGATTGAAGTGCACTCTGGTGCATTGATGTGAGACTGGATTGAAATGCATGCTGCATTAAAGAGGTATGGTCTGAACTTTCTGCCAAGTGTTGGTGCTATCAAGATGGGCCTTAGTTTGTCAAAGGCCAGCCACATTAGTGCGGCCCTTGCATCCAGGTCCTGTTCTGTTGTTCTTTCATAGGAACCCAGATATTTGAAATCCTCTACTTTCTCATTGTTTTCAGCATTTTGCTTGAGTGAGGTCTTGCTATATTAGCATTTACCGACTTTCTACAATTAAAAATTAGTCAAGCATGATTTTATTTATGACTTAATTCGTTAAACTAACATAGTCATATAATTAATAATTTATTTTTTTCAGCATTTTATTAATTTATTTCAATAGTTATTTCTTTTAATTTTTTTAGTAGCTTATATTTTATAATAAAAATATTTAATGATTGATTGAGATGATCATTTTGTATCCTTTATTTTTTTTCAATTAATTTTCTTCACTATTTTATTTTCATAGTTATACTAACAATTCATTTTTATCAAATTTCTTTAAACTGAAAAATTTTTTTCAATTCTCTAAAAGTACTGGTGTTCTAAAGAAGTGGATGGTGTATGGACGACGATGATGATGAACATAACCATCAACTTTAACATAAACTTGCGTTAAAAAACAGACACTATGGCAAACCAACATTGTCATCATCATCATAATCACCGTCATCATCATCATCATAATCATTGTTACAGTACTATTATCATAAGAACTATATATGACATAACGTTATCATCATCATCACCACCACCATCATCATCATTACCACCACCACCACCATCATCGTCATCACCATCATCATCTTCATTGTTATCATTAATTCAATTATAATATGTATATATATTGTATGCAGGTGTAAATATATAATTATATATTTTATTACATCTCTCTTACATACATATATACAAATTCTATATGTATATATATAGAAATATAATCAATCAATCAATCTTCTGTTTAGCGTCCAGAGACCCAGTTTCCAGCAGTAGGACATAGCAATATTAATGTAATAAATATAATAATAATAATGTTCATGCAAAATAAAAATATATATATTTAATTTTTTAAGAATATTATTTTTGCTTTTTGGAAAGATGATTTTATTTTAAATTCAACTTAATGTAGAACTTGTATACAAATTTGTAAAACCATTTTAGGTTTTTTTTCATTTATATATATATATATATATATATATATATATATATATATATACAACAAACAACATATATATATATATATATATATATATATATACATACATTTATTATACGTGTGTATATATTTTTATCTAATTATAAATTGTATGTACTTATATATAACTATGTCCATATACATGCATGTGTATTGTATATATATATATATGTGTGTGTCAAGTTTATTACCATACAATCGTTGCCAACAATCACAAACGACATTGATGCGTTAATTTCAACAACATCAATCACCACTTTCGACACCATCAACAACAACATCTGCAGCAACAACATCAACAACAACATCAACAGCAACATCAACATCAGCAACAGCATCAACAACAACATCTGCAACCACAATATTAACAACAACATCAACAACAGCATCAACAAAAACAACAAAAACATCATTAACAACAACAACAACATCATCAACAACGACAACATCAACAACAACATAAACGACAACACTATTACAGTGTATAAAACATCATCAACAACAACAACTACTACATAGATTATTACTCTTAAATAACCACTTCTATCATTATTAATTCAAGAGCTACAATCACATCTACCACTAGTACTACTACTACTACTACTACTACTACTACTACTACTACTACTACTACTACTACCAATACTACTACTACCAATACTACTACTACCACCACTACTACTGCTTCTACTCTTACAATAATAACAGCAGCAGCGACAAAACATGGCGACCACTTTGAAGCACTCGTCGAGCACAATCAGCCTCGTCACCAGCATCATCACCGCCATTATCTTATCATCATCATCATCATCACTCGACTCGCCACCACTCACCACCACCACCACCGACAACACCACTACCACCACCGACATCAGCGGCATCAAATTTCTGTCGTTCACCATCGAGGCGGGAGAGCCTCAGTTCAATCAGTCCATCATCACCATTCCTTCTTCTAAGAGTGTAACTTTTAGAATTTTCACCATCCGTTCGTCACCTGTTCCTTCTTCCCCCCCATCATCATCATCATCATCATCATCATTTTCAAACTCATCATCAAACTCATCATCATCGTCATCATCATCTGCCCAAAAATTCTCCGTTGCCTTCACGACGAAGGAGTCTGCGTACGGTACGAACTGCGACGACTTGCGACAGTCTGAGGTCTTCCCTGCAGAGAAGGTCGAGAGGTTCTCGCTGCTCGTCACCGCCAGCTTGCTCATGTTCCACTCACCACTCTACTTCTGCGTCCGACGGGATGACGTCGTTGACGGGAAGGGTGGTGGTGGTGGTGGTGCCAGTAGGTTCGTCCATCAAGGTTCGTGTGGTGTGTGGCGTCGTGTGTGGTGTGTGGCGTCGTGCGGTGTGGTGTGGTATGTGGCATTGTGTGGTGTGGTGTGTGGCATCGTGCGGTGTAAAGATTGGTTTTTTTGTTTGCTGGGCTTGTGTGATGTTTCTTATCATTTTCTAAATCATCATCGTTGTCACCATCACCATCACTTTCTTCACCATCATCGTCACTATCACCTTCTTCACCATCATCATCATCATCATCACCTTCTTCACCATCATCATTATCATCTTCAGGGACAGATCGCTGGTTGAAGGTTGGCACACGAGAAGAATTCGGCAGGACCACCATCTTGCCTTTGTGGCTGCAAGTGAGTGAGTGAGTGAGTGAGTGAGTGAGTGAGTGAGTTAGTGAGTTAGTGAGTGAGTTAGTGAGTGAGTTAGTGAGTGAGTTAGTAGTGTGAGTGAGTGGAAGAATGAATGAATGAGTGAATGACTGAATGAATTAATTAATTATCAAAAATGTAAAGAAAATTGAATGAATGAATGAATGAATGAACGAGAAAATAAATGAACCAGCTAGTAAACGAATGAAGTATGAATAAATTAATTGATAAACAGTAATTATGTGTATGGAAGTTTTACAAAGAGGTAGTAATCTATTCCTATCATCATCATCATTATCACCGTTGTCCGTTATTATTGCACTCCTATCATGTCAATTGTGATCACCATCATCATCATCATCACCCACATCATCATCATCATTATTATCATTATTATCATCTGTATATTTCTTTTTTTTTTCGTCTAAATGAAATCAAACAAAAATATTTAAAATGAATGAATGAATAAATGAATGAAGCATCAGCATCGTCATCATCATCGTCATCATCATCGTGATCGTTATCATCACCAATGTTATCATCATCATCACTATCACTGTTATCATCATCATCATCACATCACTCACATGACGTAAGAATGATCTCTCTAATTGTGTCTGACAATTGAACTTTATATCATATAATTGCTCTTCAGCACAGCGATGGTGAATACGAAGACGACGACGACGATGGTGGTGGTGATGATAATGACGAATGCTATGATGGTGATGACGACGATGATGATGACGATGGTGGTGATGATGATGAAGACGATGATGACAATGATGTTAGAGATGATTTTCATTTGTTGTAATTTCTTCATTCGTCATTACTCTTATTAGTTTAATTTTTCATACTACACCTCGTTCATCATCATCATCATCTTCTACTTAATCATCATCATTATCATGATTACCGCATCTTTCGTAATCATAGTTGTCTTCATCGTCGTCATCATCATCGTTTTAAGTTTACTAACGCATTTTCATTACCATCACAATTATCACTCTCATCATCATCATTATCATCACTCTCACCATCATTATCATCACTCTCACCATCATTATCATCATTCTCATCGCCCACAGATCATCGTCATCATCATCTTACTCATATTCTCGGGCCTGTTCAGTGGTTTGAACCTGGGCCTCATGTCTCTGGACCAGACAGAGCTGAACATCATGATCGCCTCGGGCACTGAAACGGAGAAGAAGTACGCCAGGACCATCAAGCCGCTCAGGAAGCGAGGCAACTACCTGCTCTGCTCCATTCTCCTCGGTGCCTTCTCCATCTCCCTTCACCATCTCCCTTCACCATCTCCCTTCATCATCCTTATCATCATCATCATCATCCTGTTCGTCTTTATCATCTTCATCATCACCATCAACATCATCATCAACATCCACCATCGTCATTTTAATCGTCACCATGTTCAATCATCTTTATAGCCTTCATCATCAGTTTGCCTATCACCTTAATTGTCATCGTCATATTCATCACAATCTCACTCATCATCGTCACCATCTTAATCATCATAGGTAATGTCTTGGTGAACAACTGTCTGACGATATTGTTGGACGATTTGACGGGCAGCGGATGGACCGCTATCGTCGGCGCCACACTGGCCATCGTCATCTGTGGCGAGATCATTCCACAGGCCGTTTGCTCCAGGTTGGTCGTGTTTTGGTGGTGGGGTGATGATGTGGTTGGGATGGTGATTAATGGTGATGGTGATGACTGAGATGGTGATGATTGAGGATGATGATGATGACTAAGATGATGATAATGTGTAAGATGAGGATGGTGACCAAGATGACTGAAAATTATGATGACAAATTGGAAGATTGGAGATAATGACGGTGATGAAAATGTTAATGGCGGTCACATATGGTGATCATCTTAATGGCGATCAAAAAATGAAGACGATGATTAAAACGATTTTGGCGATAATAAAAACGGTTATTATTAAAAATGCGCCAACTTGTGAATTTGGCCGAAGAGTTGAACGATGGCCGAGCATAAAAAAACTCGAAAATTAAAATAAATTATTTTTTTGGATGAAAATAAGTCGTTTTTTTCAACTGTTTATGACTAGCAGTTGTTTGAAAAAGTTGTATTTGGAAAAATGCATAAAAACGAATTAGAATGGAACGAAATAGTGCAGACGAATTAGTATAATCTAATAATTATAATTTAATAGCTCTCAATTGTAATGAAGAAATAATAACTTTTCTGCATTGTCATTACCAAATTACATCTGCAATCACTGTACTGCAAATTCGCAATGCTGAAAAGTCTTTCACTTTCTACTAGAGGTCTACGCGGGAACACATTTCTATTTCCTCACCTGCCCCTCCTAAAAATGAATTTTACCTCACCTGCACCCATTCCCTCGCATGTCTTCCCTCACCCGCACTCATTCCCTAACAAGTCTTCCCTCACCCGCACCCATTCCTTCACATGTCTTCCTTCACCCGCACTCATTCCCTCGATAATTATATCATTATTAACAAAGACAATAAAGTATCCTTAGTCAGAGTATTATGTAGTCCATTCCATGTACAATTTTTATTATAAAGACAAACAAAAATACTGGTTAATAACAGTTATTGTTTCAGTAAATTGTTTGTAAATTTTATACCACTCTTTGACTGTTGAGAAAAAGCAGCTGATCAACAGATTCTGGTGAAAGTCTTGAACGTCTATCTTCCAGTGTTCTTCCAGCGGTGGAGAAACATCTTTCTGAGGATGTATTTGTTGCTGGAATACTTAGAAGCTGAGCAGCTACTGATGACAACTTTGGCCATGTTGAAGATTTAGATTTTCAGAAGTCTAGAATGTTGTTTGATATCTCTGTTGACTTCAAGTACCAAAATAACTATCCAACTGATCCGATAGAATGGCATTGCTGCAATTCAAGAAGTCTCCAAAGAAGTCATCTTTATTGACACAGGTATCCAGCTTGTACAAATTCAAAAAAACACAATAATTTTAACAACTGTTCATAATTTTTTTATTATTTTTTTATTATTATGTCAAGAAAAGGACTTCTTACTAGGTGGTTGGACATCTGGCTCTTGCTGCTGATTTGTTGTAGTGCTAAAGTGGTCGTCTTCAAGATGAGTCAGTTTTCGTAACTCATCTATGGCCATCTGTCGTTGCTCGGCATTCATAAATTTCTCACCAAATTTCAATCTTGGATCCACAATAGTAGCCATTTGATGTTCTAAGTTAATATGAAACTTTGCATCTAACATTTCTAATAAAGTTAACTTAAGAGATCTGATGTCGCTTGAATCATTCTCTTTAACTGAAATTCCTTGAATAAGCTTGTATTTTGTTGGAAGTACTAACTGTATCGTTGGCTTACTACTGCTTGATAGAACTTTAGTAGCAACATCAAACGGTGATAACACTGAGATAAGGTTTTCCAATAGTGGCTCATTTATGTCTAAAATACATCGCGCTACATTTCGATTTGCAGTTTCAATGACTAATGACTTCAGCTCTGCCATATTTACTTGCACTGAATTCAACATAGTTAAAATGTTGTTCCATCTTGTAGGCACTGACTGTTTCAATGAAGTCTTCAGCTTTTTATTTAACATTGTTCTTTTTATTAACGTCACTAATTGTTTCACAGTTTCAAATAATTTCCTTATCTCTGGCGATAAGCTTCCCTTTTCCTTGTCTGTGAATGTATTGCTTAAAACCAGATTTATATTGTGCCCAGCACACCCTAACCAATTGTCTTCAGAAAAAACATTATTCATGTTAGAAGCATTATCTCTGACAAAGATATTTGTTGGTCGACTGCACTTAAATTCTTCAAGTATATCTTTTACCCAGTGTTGTGCTTGTTACTCATTGAAAGTAATTTGTTATTTTTACTTGTTACTTTGGGAAAAAGTAATTTGTTACTGTTACTTGTTATATTTATAGAAAAGTAATCTGTTACTGTTACTTGTTACTATAAAAAGTAACAAAGTTACTTTTTTGTTACTACAGTACAGCATACATGTAAACAGACGCTGCAAGTACTCTTTCATATATTTTCAATATCAACATTAATAGGTGCGCACATGAATATACATATACAATACATAGAAAGATAGTCAATAAGATACATGTAATTGGTAGCACCTAAATTTACAATGTACATAAATCACTTATTTGGCAGAAAATAATTTATTTGCCCGCAAAAGCAGTTGACGCTCAAAATGCTCATCAGTCATCCGATTCCTTCTAGGAACCAGTATCTGACCACCTAAACTGAAAAGTCTCTCAACCGGTGCACTTGAAGGTAATGGTGTATTGAATTTCTTGAACAACTTCAAAATACCCGGGTATTTTTGCAGGCATGCAATTTCACGAGAATTATCACTTAAATACAAGTCAAGTTCTGCAGCAGCATCAACGTTGTCACGTGGTTCATTTGCAAACGAAAAAAATTCATCATCTGACACAGTACCTGACTCATGCTTGTCATCAGTATCAGGCTCAGTGACCTGCTGCTGCTGTTTAGCAGCCTGCAACTCGTCATACAGTAAACTACGAGCAATCTTTTTCCTGTCGTTATTGTCAATCCATCTCATACGAAACTGAGGCAATGTGACACTAGCTATGATCAAATCATGACGTTCATCATAACCTTGAAATCGCTTATCAAGGCCGGATAAAACAGCAGTAAGCAAAGGCGCTGCCAACTTCAAAGTTGGTTTTACTGTTAGTAACTTTGTTCGCAATGACATTAACGTTGGCAACAAAAACCCAATAAAACACTTCGTTTCTGCTTGGAGTATGTCCAATGCAGCTGCCATTGGTTGCATAACACAACAATACTCTTTCAAGAAAAGGATGTCATTGGGACGAAATTGTGGGACCTCAAGAGCTACAAAAACTTCAGCAATATTGTCCTCAGATTGTTTTTCAAGGACCTGTCTTACTTTGTCAACTGCATTAAAGTACGAGTTCCAACGTGTAGCATTAGGCACAATGAAGAAAGTGTGAAACTTATCACGCACAATATCTGCAAATTGTGTGCTACGTGAAGTCTTGTTCCACAATGCAGAACACTTGACCATTGTTGACCGAGAGAGTTTTTTGTAAACAGCATCACTATTTGCACTTTCTATATCATGACTAGCAATCAAATTCAATGTGTGAGCAGCACAACGCTGATGAAGGGGTAAATATAAGTCACTGTCCTCATCATGCTCTGGTTCACTTAGCAATGCATCAACATCAACAAAAGCAACATTGTTATCATCATCATCACTAACTACACTACCATCATTTGCAAACTCTTTAAATGCTTTAACAAAGTTCGAACCATTGTCAGTTACTGTCATCAGTACTTTGTGGTTAATACGATACGCCGTATGTACAGCATTTAACCTAACAGCAATGCAATCATACGTGTGACGCCCTTTCATGCGCTCACAGCACAAAGCCGCTGAACGTCTTTCCAGAGTATCAGGATCAATCCAGTGCGCTGTGATGCCTAGAAAGCTCCTGTTGTTGGATGACCAGATATCCGCTGTTGTGCACACATGATCGACTTTGCTGAGCGCTGCACAGATGCTTTCCTTCATCGTGTCCGCGAGTTTGTCCAACTTATCTGTAAACAGAAAGACGCGTGTTGCAAATTTAGTAGGGTCTTAAGGATTGTATTTACTTTTATTTGACATCGTTCAAAATAAGCAATTAATGTGACGAACCACAAAAAATCATATTATATTATAGAGATTGAACTAACCATTAAGAGTTTTTCTCGACAAAACTTTCTTTGTTGGCTGGAGACCTTGAACAAGCTCGATGAAGGGTTGAGATTCGACGATGCTCATTGGCTCCATATACTCGACAATGAAGTTTGTCACAGCTGATCGACCTTCGCCTGCGAAATTACAGAACTACCAAGTGGGGTGCATGTTGTCACAGTTGCTTGTATGCAGGCTTTCTTTGCAGGCATGTCGGACACTTAACTAGTAGCCTTCCTCTTCCGGCATTCCTTTACTTTCTCCAAGACGTTTGGATGCTTCTTCTGTACAAGTTCACACATTCAATTTTAAATATTATTTCGCTAATATTTAAAAAAATAGACAAACACAAGCTAATGTCCATTCAGTTATGTATGTTGTTCAATTCAGTTGTAAATGACAGCATTTGCTAATTCATCGGATGTCTGCGGAATAAAAATTAGGTGTTGTAGATAATTCATTGCATCCCATTCAGGCATTATTTCGTTCCGAAAAAACCGATAATTTATAAAAAAACTAATTTTCGTTAACATTAAAAAAAACCTTACCTCCACGTGTTTTAAAAGATTCGCTAGGCTGATCTTCGATGTGCTAAGAATCGTTCGTTTTGGTAAGCACCGCTTGCACTGTACTCTCACATTCTTTCCTTCTTCTTTAACTACGTTAAAATATTCCTTCAGTTGTTCCATCCAAGCTACTTGGCCTACTTCATTATCAGTTGAATCCAATTCCTTCTCGTCTTCCATTATGCCAACTAAATCCGCGCAACTTACTAAATCACAAACCACGTGAAATGCTGAGACTGAGAGTAAACATACACAAGAAAAGGAAGTGCATACAAGCATAGAATATTAAATTGGCAAGTCATGGAAATGGTTCGTCTAATGAACGACTGAGCCGCAACAGGACAAC